AAATATATAAACTTTTTGTTTCATTCATGGCAAGATGGTAAGAATGATTGTAATACCTACTAACCATTTTCGTATATTTTTATATATATGAGTAGATTTGATATATTTTATATTATAGAACTTAAAGACCAGACCAGTCAGTTAAAATGTATTCCATCAACTCTTACGTGATCTTCCTATGGGCCAGTCTGATTAAGCTAAAAAAAATATATTGAACCATCAAATACCACGACATCACTGCCTTACTCATTTCAAGAGATTCTTTAAAAATGTGACTGGTCCCTAAAGGCAGTTTGTTCAGCTGCTTTTACAAAACCTATTCGGTTGTTTCACAGTCCGTACGTACATCTGTAGATGATCCCGTGCCTGAAGTTACCTAGTCGGGTCACCTCTGAGAGAGCGTTAGTAACAGACTGCCTTGCATTTGGAAGTTTTCCATTTCCGAGACAATGGGATTGTGCTCATTTGCTTGTCTGTCACACTTTTTTTTTTTTTTTTTTTTGTCTTTTTTCTTTTTTTACCAGTACCGGAGATGGAACTCACGACCACCCACTGGCAAGGCAGGCGCTTATGCCGCTGAGCTAAATCCCCAGCCCCCATTTTTTTTTTTTTTTTTACTTTCTGTCACACTTCTTTCTATTAAAAGCACTTGATTCTTTAGAACAAATAAACAACAATTTTCCAAGCTTGGAATTACAGATTTTATAGATTGGGAAACTGGGGCTTAGAGCATTTTAATGGTAATACTAAAATGGTACTGCTCATAAACAGCAGGGGTAGGTTGTAAGTTTTATTCTTTTGAATGCAAATTTTCTTTCATAACAGCTTCTATCTTATCTTACAACAGGCCACAACAGGACTCTTGTCATAGTTAACCCACAAGCTGTATAATATTAGGCATGTCATTTTATAGTGTTTCTAAAACCTGCTATCAAATTATTTCCCAAAAAGTATGTAGAAGCAAACTACAGCATAATTTATTTAAATGATGAACAGACAGTTGTCAGCATTACTTGTACTTGTAAAACCCACATCTTTAAACATCCCAGGTGCTATTGAAGGCAAAACAGACAGCATATAAATCATGGATAACCTTTAGTAATATATTTATTCAAATGGTATTCAACCCTGATGATTCAGAGGACTCTGAAGGATAGGTTAGTATCTAAACATTTTTTTTAAGTCTTCAGGTGATTAAAGTCCATGATCAACATTAAACATACTTCCTTTTCACTGGAAGACCATGACAAATTCACCTGGTGATAATGGCAGCTGCAGGAAGCACACTCTGGGAACAAACAAGTAGAGGTTTTAGATTACCTTCACTGAACAAAACGCCTAACGTGGAAGTTAGATTGAAATATTTATTCAAGAAAAAATCTGATTAGAAAAGTCCTGATATGGTCCTCGTATCACCTAAAGAAACATGTTCACTAGACTGTTACATGTAATATTTTATTGAGTGGATTATTAGTAAAACTAACTTTTGGACTTGTGAAGAATGCTCACATTTACCTTTAGATTTTCACACATAGTTTTTACAGATATATTATTGTATTTATCTTGCCAGATTGTAATGTTCATGGTATTATTTCTTAATATATTGTGAAAAAATGTAAACTTTACCAGACTTTTCGGGGATGTGTATAATGTTTGGAAAATGAACTTTCTCCTTGACAAAAACCCCATATTCCTATACAGCCTTCATGTCTTTAGAAGGAATGTTGTATTTGCTTGATAATGTGAACATAATAAGTTCCATCTTTGCATACTAGGGAAATCAACAGTAAAGCCTCAGTGAATGACACTACCCCATGCAAAAATATGGATAAATTTTATTTTATTTTATTTGGTATCAGGTTTTGAACTCACGACCTTGTGCTTACCAGGTAAGCGCTTAAACTACTGGGCTAAATCCCCAGCCCAATAAATTTTATTTGAAAACAAACACATTTGGTACTGACTTGAGTAGCCCGTTATCGTTGCATCAAGAATTGAGAAGTTAGTAATCAAGAGTAAAATTTTAATATGAAGTCCTTCCTTGTTCTTCTTCATCGTGCTTGAAATTTGTAAACTCATTTTTATGTCTGGGCTTTTCAGTATTCCTGCCCCTTCAAGGCTACAGACCTCCAATCCCCTCTCACTTTCTCAAGTGCATGCTTAGTTTCCTTTCCTTTGGCCTCTAGCTGCTTAGTGCTTTCTCTCAGTGTTTCCATAACTTTAATTCCCCTTCTGCTGTCTGCTCTGCTTCCAGCACTGACCACATCTTTCCATGTAGGGACTCAAAGCTCAAAGCCAAGGCATTTCAGTTTTTCTTCCTAAAAGTAAGGACGTGAATTTCTAGTGATGGATGATTTCGGGCGTTCTTGCATTTAAAAACGTGTACCACAGCCATTAGAGCCCATGTGTTTGTGGTGTTGCTGGCTTTACAAATATGTGTGTGTAGCCCAAAGCCAGAATAATGAATGGCTTTATCTAACACATTGTCATCACATGGTAGGAAGTTAGTAGGGGCTGTCAGAATGGGATGCTACGTCAACACTGAAAACAGATGAATGGTACAATAAGGATTTTGTCCTCTTTTTACTGATGAGGTACTATTTTTCTACTATGCTGGCAACATTTCAAATGCTACATGTGGAAAAAACAACACCATATGTCTTTGACGTTTGCATTTATACATTCATGAAAGGTCCCATGTCTTTGATCCAATGGTTTGTTTTATGCTTCCTTGTTTTTATGAGTATTTTGGTTTGAGTGTATGAGAAAGCTGTATAATTCCCAAGCTTCTGAAAGCACCTACTGATTGCTATTTGATCTTTGCAGCTTTCTAATATGTGCAACAGAATCAAGAGAGAAATATTCTTTTTCTTTGGCTATACAAAAACTTAAGGAGATATTTTCCTTAGTGAAGGCTTCAGTAGAGACCTGCAGAAGATGGGCTCCTGGTGCTTAGAGATTTGAGCAGCTTGCAAAGTTCAGTGAAGCTTTGTACCCTAGACTCAGTGTCTTTACAAATATTCTCCATGTTTCTTAGTCAAGACTTGTCAAAATTTACCACCAACAGTAGTTCTTCATTTACCTAAGGAACTGTCTATAACAGTGTGCAGTGTTCAGCCCTAGGCTTGGAAACGGATGCATCTTAGTTAGAAAACAGATTTGCCATGGAAAAAAATCATCATTTCTAAAGAAAGACTTTTGGGTATATCTGATACAGTAAAACAGAGAAAGTAATAAAGTCAAACTAGTGGTATATAATCATTATGCATTTAATAATGTATTATTTATGAAAATATCCTGAACAAAAAGTTTCTGTATGGGTAAACATACCAATAAAGAACCCTTACATTGTCCAACAAAGAAGTTAAATGATAAACAGAGAAGTGAAATGTTATTTTAGTTGGAAAAGTAGATAATGCTAACAGCTTTTACAGAGTAGTTTGATTTATGGTGTTTCTTTTGTTTCTTAATGTTTTTAAGATTTTAAAAGTTTCTCAGTTTCAGCACATGAAATGAAAATCGTGTCATTTAGAATTTCATACAGATTTGGATGGTTCATTGTTCTTTTTTCTAATTTGCATGTTTTTTAAAGTAAGTAGTTATCTTAGTTAAGAAAGGGGGAAACATTAAGACATCAACCCATTTCCTTTTTTAGTTGATCTGCTACCCATGTTGATGTATTTTTTCTTTTCCCATTGTTGCTGAATAAAATGACCTTGCACTATTGCCTATTGTATATTTTGAGTGGAGCTATGATTTATGTCCTATAAAGAATGGCTTTAAGAAATGTTTTGTTTCTTTCAGTGTTTGCTCACATTTTTGAGAGAGAACTGGTGAGAAATGACAAACTTAACATAATTTTACATTATTCTGCTACCATAATAAAGCTGAAGAAATGATTTTGGTCTCCATTTCATAGAACAATAATTTCTATGTTAGCCCACTTACGTTACATGTAACCAAGGTGGTCTAGCTCTCTCTGTCGTGGTCAGATTGATATACACCAGAGGAACAGTTGGACCATGTAGTGCCTCAGACGTAGGAATTCACTAAATGCTTGTTGAATTTGTAAGTTAATGTGTGTATGAATAGATGTATATTTTCCTTCCCAATAATTACATGCCAACAGCTTTAGTTTGGATCAAATCTTAGACTGTTTATTATTAACTTTTGTTCATGAATTATAAGAATTCAAATGAAATTGGACAAATTTATCATTACTTTAAACAAAGTCATAGATTTTAAAATTTGCAATATGAAAATTACCTAAAATTAATTCCTAAAATAATATAGTAGATTTGTATATTATTTTAATAAAAAATGTATTCTACATTAGATACATTTGTAACCCAGTTGTTATAAATCATTTATATTTATTAATGTAGCACTTGAGTTTGGGAAGTTGTAAAATATTTTAATCCTCAAAAATAATATAGTAGTTCGAGCTAAATATGAAAGAAGTATTATAGTGCGAACTATTGTTGCCAATTAATAGTATTCAGATTATAATAGTGTTGAGTAAGGGTACAATCTGTAAATTATAAAACTTTAAAGTTAGAAAGGATATTTATCTAATGAAAACTTAAATTAGTCTTTAACAGAAAAGTGAGACTCCTAAATGTAGTCGTGAATCAAACTAACAAAATGACTGTTTTAATTAAATATTTATACAATTTAAGTAACGTTTTGTATTTTAAACTTGTCTTCTCAGAGACTATATATGTCAGTTTACTGTTTCTGTATAGATTCCTATGGTCTCTTCCATGAAGAACTGATTTTGCCTGTTTTAATGAGTGCGTTTGTCTTTCTTACCAGAATAAAAGTGTCTCTGGTAGTTGACTTGTCTTACTTTGTAATTTGTATCTCCATTTCTAATCACTCTGTCATAGAGCACTGCTTCACATATTTAGAAATGGAATCAATGTCTCATAAGAGAAATTAATAGACATTCAAGTAATAAATCATATATCCATTAAATGTGTTCCATTTTTCTCCAACAGTCTCCAAACGTCCACAACTACCCCGATATGGAAGCCGTGCCCCTGTTACTAAATAATGTCAAAGGGGAGCCTCCAGAGGACTCGTTATCTGTAGATCATTTCCAAACACAAACTGAGCCCGTGGACTTGTCAATAAACAAAGCCAGGACATCACCCACCGCCGTTTCCTCCTCCCCAGTTTCCATGACCGCCTCTGCCTCCTCGCCTTCTTCAACTTCAACCTCTTCTTCATCTTCCAGTCGCCCGGCCTCATCCCCAACTGTTATCACATCAGTATCTTCAGCCTCGTCCTCGTCAACAGTATTAACTCCAGGACCCCTTGTGGCCTCTGCATCTGGTGTGGGAGGCCAGCAGTTTTTGCACATTATCCATCCCGTACCGCCTTCGAGTCCCATGAATTTACAGTCTAACAAACTGAGTCACGTTCACCGCATCCCTGTGGTGGTGCAGTCGGTGCCTGTTGTCTACACAGCCGTACGTTCACCTGGAAATGTGAACAACACTATTGTCGTGCCGCTTTTGGAGGATGGGAGAAGCCATGGCAAAGGTAAGAGACAAACAAAGCCTTGATTTATTTCAGCAGTACTAGTAGTAACTGGTAAGATTTTTGGTGCAAGTAAGAGAGAGGGAGAGAAAAAGAGGCCTTTATTGTGGCACGGGAGGGCTACAGAAAAGAGGCAAGCACCCTCTTGAGGGAACAAACAAGTGGAAGTACTTTTATCAGAGTCTTGTGGGGAGGAGTACTTTGGGAGGTGAGCAAACGGACATATTAACAGCAGATTCAAAGGAGCATCTGCGTGCGTAAAACAGAAAACAGGAAGATTTACTGGGGCCTGGGTGTGGAGCACTTGGGTGTTTCTAGAGTCTTGGAATTGGACAGGGCTCAGTGCATGTACAAAGAGGGCGCAGAAAGTGTATTTCTGGAACTAGAAGGAAACATAGAAGTTACTCTTGGAGAGATAAGTTGCTTCTCTAGGGCTGGTACCAAGTTCAGCAGATGTCATGTTAAAGATAGCTAAGCCCCAGGCTGGCAGAATCTATCAGTAACTATTAATTTTTTTTAATGAATGGAACCTAAATTGTGTGTAAGAACTGCAGCAAAAGACACTCTCTGGAGAGAAGTGCTCTCTCAGTAGAGCATAATGTAGTATGTAGGTATTGCTTCAGATGTATTCAGTTTGTATTTTTGTTAATCATGTCATTTAATGTCAGCATTCAGGTACCTAAAATGGTAAAATAATGCTTGCTCACTTAAATATTCAGATGAAAAAGGCAAACTGGTCAGTAAAGCACAGATACATAAATCCTCATAGAAATTATGCATTATAAAGTTTTAAAAAAGTAAATCATTTTTTTCTTTTGTTTAGACTGAAACTTTTGTGGTCAGTAATATAAAATGCTTCAAAGTTGCAGTGCCTACAATCTGATCATTCACTTTGAGTCACTTGTAAATTAGATTGCCCTTAAAATATTTATAATTTAAATATTTGGCTAGAAAAGATGTTTGTATTCGTATGGTCTTAAAAGTCTAAGTTATTTCAAGTAACAGAATAATAATATAATAGAAATATTTCAAAATTCAATTTTAATTTTCCCTTCTAGAGTTTAGAAGATAGGAGGAAGGTATTTTGCCACATGCACGTACATAATAATACCTAGTTACTTCATTTAATTTCAGTTATGCAGCTCATCCTAAAGTAATTTTCTACTTCTAATTCTTGTATTTTCCCACTTTTTGCCACAATGAATTGTGATAGCTTTATCCTGTTAATTCTTTTTTCCCTACACGGGAATCTACAAAATAAGCCACCTATCAATGGACATGTAAAATCTCAGTCAATATTGACTTTCTCTGTTTTAAACCGGAAACATACATATCTCTTTTGTCTTTAGGGCCTAAATATGATGCTACATCAATACTTAAGTTACTTTTTGTTTTGAAACTTGGTTACCACTGAAAACCACAATTAAAATACACTTAGTGAGTACATAATACACTATCTTTTAAAAAAATATACTAGTAAACATGCCTTTGGTCCTTGTATAAGGTACAGTTCCATGGAGAAAGAATAAATTTGATTGCAAACTTAGAAAAATTTTGCAAACATATGCTACAAAACTGTATATTCACTATTGACAAGTAATAGAGTTTCTTCATGGTTCTGAAATAAATTACCCCTTCCCAATTTATCAAAATTAAAATGATTCAGAGTATACAAGAATTTTAGTCTGCAGCCTCAAGACATTCCTGCTTCACTGGCAGCCTCAGGCTTGCCGTCATGGCTCAGGGGGCAGTCCCACCACTGCTTTCCCATTGCTTTTACTCAAGCCAGATACTTAGTATGGCTATGCTTCTGATCAAATCAACCTACTTAAGATAGTAACAACATAACTGGACGTTTAAGGAATAATAACGTAACGTCAGATATGAGATATTATTATCAAAAGGATGGTGTATATTTAAATTTATACTAAAAACACTACAGTAGGAACCACTTTGCCATTAATTCCTCACAAATGCTCTCATTTGCTTCAAGCACACTTTGCCCATTGTTCTTGTCAATGGAAGAAGTTCTGGAAGTCCTCTTTAGCAAGTCTCTGTAGTTGTACTTCCTCTTGACGTTGAAGAAGAGCCAGAAGTTTCATGGTGCTAGACACAGTGGCTAGTGGATGAGGACATACAGTAGTGGTTACATGCTGACTTTTTCTACTGGATGTCACTCAGCAGCTGCATTTACCATCTTTTATCACACCTTGTAAATACACTCCACGAGGACCTTGAGAACTGCTTCAGAAATGGCAAGAATGCTGAGATAAGAGCTTTGGAAATGAAGGGGAGTATTATGTGGGGAATTAATGGCAGTGTGTTTTTTTACTGTAATTTTTTAAAAAATGTTTTCACTCTATATTTTGATCACACATTATATTTATTTTCCTTTTCGGTTCAGAGTTGCAGTTGTTTTTCAAGAATTAGGAATTAATAAGTAGTAGAACGTACAAGCTTGCATATTACATTATATATGTGTTGATATGAAGTATACATGATAGAGTCCTATCTTTCTGTAATAGCACTAAAGAGAAAATACTGCTTTCATTAGGAAGTTCATTAATAAATATTTTAATGTTGCTCATGACCTTTTATACAGTTTTGACTCACTAATAAGGAAGCATAAGAAATATCTTTTATTTGCCATTATCATTTTATGTGAGAGGTCATTTTGCTTAATGTGTATAATATATAAAGAATATTGCTAAAACCTTAATTTTCTACAAAATATATCATTGCAGAACTTTTAAAACTGAGCCTGTAATTTGCCCCTTATGTAAGCAGATTTGTTAGTTTCATTTAATGAAGTACTTTTTACTTTCCAGTTTTTCATATTATGAATAAAAAATGTATTTGATCATATACCTGGTGGACTCTGTTTTGGTTGTTAGGAACATGAGACTTGAGATCAAAGATGTGTGAGTTAGAATCCTGCCTTTCTCATCTATAGCTTTCGATTTGGCACAATTATTTACCTCTTTAACCCTCATTTTCATCTATGATAAAATGAGGAAAATAACAGGATCTTTTCTAAGATTATTAGGAAAATTAAAGAGCATACTGAAAAGGTCTCACAGTGATCTAATATCAATAAATATTTGTAGATTTATTATCCTCTTTCTCCAAAATACCGAAGCAATAATGTTCAGATTTTCTTTCTTACAAAAACTGAAAGGGGCAGGTGTTTAGCTCAGTGACACAAGAACCTACCTGGCAAACACAAGGTTGTGAGTTCAATCCCCGGTGTGCCCTCTTCCAAAAAACAAGAAAAACTGAAAGTTGGCGGAGAAAATTGCTGAATTAAAAAACAAAACAAAAAGCAATTCCAAATGTTGATATGGAGATTCTTCTCAAAGTTACTTCTGTAACATCACAAGAGACGATAGATTAGTATGAAAAATTGTCTGGAAAATCACATTTTTCTACTTTTATTAGTTTATATTAATTTTTATAATCACCATATTCTACAAATACTACTATAACATTTTACAAGTTTTTTATTGTTTAATTAATTAGATGACCCTAAAAGTGTCCACTGAAGGTTTGCCTGCTTCACAGAAGTAAAAAAGGAGAATGTATTTCAGTAATTCCTTAAGTGGTGTGTGTGTGTGTGTGTGTGTGTGTGTGTGTGTGTGTATGTGTGTATGTGTGTCTTTTTGAGACAGAATCTTACTGTGCAGTTTAGGCTGGTCTTGAGCTCATTTTGTAGCCCAGGCTGGTCTCAAACTCCCAAGGATCTTCCTGCCTCAGCCTCCCAAGTTCTGGGATTACAGGTGTGAGCCATCACACCTGACTTAATTATTCAAGTCTTATTTTGCATATACAGCTGCACATTATAGTAGCAGTAAAATAGCTGAGTGATATTGCCCTTCCCACTTCAGACCTGTATATCTCACATGGGTGAGCAAAAGAAAAGACCATAGAAGAGTTGGAGTTTCAAAAGTGATACTAAATTTAACTCATGTGAATTAGATGATCGTACTGGCTAATTACTTTTAAAGTTTGTATAATGTATGTGATCTCTAATAGAAATATATTACCCTACATGTCATATTACTCAAAGGACGATGGATGTACACAGCCATATCTAAGCTAACATAGCATGTAATTTGAGTCATTTGTTCATTCAAATATTTATTAAGCATCTGTCTTTATTAGATAATGTTGATGGCAATGATGCAGTGTTGAATAAAACACTTGGTGTTTTGATATTATAGTCCTTAAATTTTAATGGGAGACATCAACTTTAAACAAGTCATACTAACTGTTCATCGTGGCTAGAGTTGAATTAAAATGGACTAAACTCCTTCCACTGGGAATTTTATTTTTTTATAATTTTATATAATTTTTTTATAATTCTATTTTTGTTTGTTTGTTTGTTTTGGAGACAGGGTCTTGCTTGCCATGTAGTATAAGCTGGCTTTGAGCTCCCTCATGAAGCCCAGGCTGGTCTTGAACTCACACTAGACCTCCTGCCTCAGCCTCCTGAATGCTGGGATTACAGGTGTGAACCACTACACCTGGTAGTTTCATTATAATTTTTAAAAAAGTTGTTTTTGATAAGTGTTTTCAAATGGATACCATATATGGGAAGAAGAAATATTTTGGCTCTGATGCAGAGAAGATGGTGAGGGTTTAGGATTGTTGTAGGCTAATATTCCATGAGGAATCAACAGAAGAATATGCTTTCTTGAAGCTTATACCTCAGCCCATCCAAGTAAGCAAACAGTGTTGGCTTACAGGAAGGGCAAGTTGTCAGTCAAGCCACAGCATGTCAGCTATCTCAGTGGGGTTTTGAATATAATATATGAACAAAGATGGAATAATTTCTGGAAAGTACAATAAATGAAAATAATTTAGGGTAGAGCTGTGAAAGCAAGCTCTAGAAGAGGTCCTCTGAGGAGGATATTTTTCTATTCGATACCAGAAGAACAGATAGCACTTAGTCCCAAAGTGATACTGAGGCGTGCTGAGCTCTGCGTACAGAAGCTTCCTTACCA